GAATAGGGGAAAAGAGAGGGAGAAAGACGGGGAGAGGGAGAGGGATGGAGATAGAAATGGGGATAGGGATAGGAGCAGCGGAAGGGATAGAAAGTGGGACGGATATGAAGATGGGGAGGAAAAGGAAGAGGAGGAAGGAGGCGTGATATGCGTGGATAAGAGGTATTTATTTTAGTATTTAGAGCCGAGTCGGTAATGAACTAAACTACCCCCTCCTTCCTCCCACTTCCCGTCTATCTTTCATACTGGGACAAACCTACTCTACACTCCTTCCACCATATATTATTAACCTCCTGATTACTACCTCCCTTTCTTCTAATCCTTTCCGTCGTCCCTCCACTATTTCGCCCCGTCCTGCTTAAGCTGGGCCCTTTCCCGCGCCCTCCAACACATGGCCCACCACAACATCCAAGCTGCGCCCATCCTCTCCCCCTCCCATCACCTTCTGACAACCCTCTCCTTGACAGATCTCGCCCGGTCCCCCTTAACCCTCATAGCGCGTGATCCACCCGTCATTTCCCTCTTGCTGCACGTCCACGGTGTGAGACGGGAGGAAGAGCTGCCGAGAAATGTCACGGCTACAAGTCGGAGCACGCTTGAAAGAGTTATGAGGGACGTGTTGGAGTTTGGGGTGCACAGGGTTTGGGTTGTTGATAGGGAGGATGGCGATGGGGATGAACGGGAGACGCTGAGGGATGTGGTTAGTTTGACCGATGTGATTAGGGTGTTAATTGGTTAGAACCAATTTGGAACAGAGAGAGTGGAGGGGGAAATTGTAGCTATGCTGAGACGATGATGGAGATGCGACATGGGTGCAAACTATTATAGAGTACAATTGCGTATCTAACACCGTATTCATTGAATCAATCTACTTGGCATAGTCCACGGTGCTATAATGCTCCGGATGCTCCCTCATGATCTCCTCCAACTGCTTCTTCTGCTCTTCCAAATGCCACGGCATCTCATCATAAACGTCTGTAAACAGATACTCCAGTTTAGGCTTCTTCAGCTTCTCCCCCTTTGCGAAGCTCGCCAATATGTCGCTGCGGCACTGCTTCTTGAACGCAGCGTCCTCCTCCTCCGACCACCAGCCCTTGGACTCGATGTACTTCCGGAAGCGCGCGATGGGGGAGTCCTGCTTCATCCAGTCGGATACTTCTTTCTTGGGGCGGTAGGCGGAGGAGTCGTCGGAGGTTGAGTGGTGGCCGACGCGGTAGGTCAGGGCCTCAATGAGGACGGGCTTGCCTTCCTCGATCGCGATACGGCGGGCTTCTTTGGTGGCGTTATATACCGCCTATTTTACGGAGCTTAGAGGACGTGCATCACATATAAGCCAGCCACCACACGAACCAGGACATCGTTCCCATCTACGCGCACGGTATCCATCCCGTACCCGTGTCCCCTGCTCGCTACATGTAATCGTTAAAACAATGACTTGCTTCATATAATAGACTTACCAATGCCGTCACCCCGATACTGCTCCTTGGCTGGCGTGGAAATGGCGTACCCGTTATTCCGGCTGTATAACCAAACCGTCAGCAACATCCACCAGCAACCACCATATCCAAACCCACTCACCAAAAGAAAATAACAGGCGACTCCGTCGTCGCCGCTATGTTCAACGCCGCGTGGAAGTCCCCCTCGCTCGCCGCTCCCTCCCCGAAAAAGCAAATCACGCACGCGTCCTTCCCCTCCCTCTTCAACGCGTACGCCGACCCGGCCGCCTGCGGAAGCTGCGTTCCCAACGGGCTGGAGATGGTCTGGAAGTTGAGCGCGCGGGACCCGTAGTGAACCGGCATCTGCCGCCCTTTGCCGAGGTCGAGCTCGTTGGAGTAGCACTGGTTCATGAACTGGTCGAGCGTGAAGCCGCGGTACATGAGGACGCCGGCTTCGCGGTATTGGCTGTTTTCAAAGCAAGCTTAGCATGCATACATGGATTGCAATGACAAAAGCGTCCAGGACTTGACGTCAAGACCCCACTTCTCAACAACACGTTCGTAGCATCTACTATAACCAAATACTCACCCGTAAACGACATCATCCAACGTTAAAGCTGCAGCCGAGCCCATGTGCGTTGCCTCCTCGCCGTAGGACGTCATGTAGAACGAGACACGCCCTTGTCGCTGGGCCTCGTACATAATCACGTCCATCGAATTTAGCGTCAACATGAGCTTGTACATCTTCAGGCACTCCTCCTTCGGCAACTGCAACGGTCAAGTCAGAGTCTGGACCCAGCCGAAGGCCGGTGATCAGCTATAGCTCCATCTCTATAAACACCCTGCCTTCCCCATCCTATCAACCCGTCGCGCTCGTTCGCCCAAGAACAAACCTTAGGATCCGCGCCAGGCACGATCACGTTCCCCTCCAAATCCAGCACGCGGTAGGTCGGGATGGTCGGGTAGTCGCGCTGGAACTCCAGGGACTCGGTGTAGAACGAGCCCGACGTCGCGCCGGGGAAGCTGACCTCTTTCATCGCGGGCCTGGTCGCGCTGAACGGGGTCGTAGACGAGGACGACGTCGCCATCATAGGGGTCGGCCCGGCGTGGAGTTGGCGGCGGCGGGCGTGACGGGAGGATCGGAGTGCCATGCGGGCCGGGACGAGGAGGCGGGACCACATTGCATTAAGGTGTTCCGTTTACGAAACGGGCGATGGAAATGCGTGGAGGGAGACTTTGACCAACGTCCTTGACGTTGCGATCAATTCCCTGATTTTCCTTGTGCGTCCTCATTGGTTTCTAAAGCAAATCGGCCGAGCAAGCTCAGAGATAACGCGATAGAATTGGAGTTGAAAGCCCGCATGGCCTAAGATTACAGCAAACTACGTTTGTGCAAAAGTGAGACAGTCGCTCTCGGTAGCCGTCGCTGTCATCGCCTCCCTCCCCATCAGTATCAGCTCTGGACTTCAGGCATCGTCTGTTGTCGGCCCACATATGTGACTAATTATTGTTCAATCGTAGTTCATGCATTCTTTAGTGCACTTCAGCTAGCCGACGGATGGGGTTGCTTTTCTTCGGCCTGTTCCATCAATCAGCAAGCGCATGGATTCCCAACAACGGCCGCGACTTTGACTCAACCATTTTTACTTGGGGCGAGAAAAAAAAATTAAACCCAAAATTTTGGAGAATGAGGGTATCGATCCCTCTGCCTCTCGCATGCTAAGCGAGTGCTCTACCATATGAGCTAATTCCCCTTGGTGACTTGACAATATTTTTGCATACAAGACTGTTCTAAAAAATTTTTGCTGTCGAATCGGGAGAGATCGCAGTCGATACTTTTTCATTCGACTCGGTATCATAACTTTTCCCATCTCAAATACGATTTTTTCTCGTCCACTTCTTGACGAGCACAGGCTGCGCGTTGTGTCAAGCAATTATCAATAACAAAGGGTCAAGATGTTATCGCGTGTATTCAGGATAACTGCATCGGAAGTAGAAGTGAGCAGATGAAAAACATACGACAGATAGGAAGGTGATGTGTGCGCCGTTACGGCAATGTATTCGCAGGTATTTAACGGATAAAGCGTTAATGTGCCAGTCAGAGAAGTAGGGTGCACGAGCGAATGAAAAACAATGCTCAAAGATAAATGACATGCGATATCAATTATGAAATGCAAACCACGCAAAAGCGAAATTATGAAATGCAAACCACCCAAAAAACGAATTTACAACAGAATTCATCACACGCCCAACTCCGAATCCCACTCCGAATACTCAGTAAACTCCGTCGGCGCGAGACTTTTCCCCCCATCGGTCATTATGCTCATGTGCCTCTGCCTCGCCTCCCTAATAAATCCCGTGGCCGCCCTCCCAGCTCCGTCGTACCTCCTACCACTGCGACCGCTCTCATGCGACGAGTACTCCCGCTCCTCGCCGCGCGGCGACACGGGCGACTTCGCCTTAACCGTCGCAACCGACGACTCGGCCGTACGAGGCTGCGGCGGCGCCCTAAACGCCCGCGCCTGCGCGTCGCGCTCCACCTTGTCGTATTCAATCACGTCCGTCGGCGGGGTTGGCAAGCCGCGGCGCTGTACGACACGCACGCCAGCGGCCGCGCCTGATAGCTGAGGGTTCCCTACCCCCGGTCCTCTTGCCTCGACGTTGATGCGGCTAGCGCCACCGGAGCGCGGCTCGATAAACGTCCGCCGACCTTCCGTAAGATCGTCGCCCTCCGTGCTAGCCACCGTCGGCGCGAGGGAGTATTTGCGGCCCATGGACGGGCGTGGCTGGTTTGGTAATTGAGCGGCGGGGTTGGCGAAAGGGTCGGTGTAGGGGCTGCCGGAGCGGCCGTTGGCCCCGTACTGTGAGGCAGGGTTGACGGCGACGGGTATTGCCGGCGCGCCGACGTCCGACCCACCGTAGTAGGAGCCAGAGTAGTAGGGCGCGACAAGATCGGATGTACCAACATGCGAGTCCCCATTTTGCGAGCCGGCGCGCTGAGACCCGGTCCGCGATCCATGCAGCGACCCGTACTGTGAGGCGTAGTAGGGCGCAAACCCGATCTGCCCCTGCTGCGGCTGATAGCGGGGCATCGTGGAGTTGGCCGGGTTCTGGTTAGACCCCATCGTCTCGTTCCCATAAACGTTGCCCGCATAATTGGACGCCGCTGTCGAACCTGTCTGCTGCATAAGCGGGACCGCATCGCTTCCCCTTCTCTTCCCGTCCTGCTCAACTCCAGTGCCCGTCACCGACCTAGTATCCAAACCGCCCAGCCGCTTGCTCGTCCGCTTGAATAAGCTCTGTCGCTTTGTCCCAACAGGTCCGCCCAAACCCAAATTGCTATCCAGAGCGCGCTGTCGTTCCTTGTGGAGGCGCGTCGCGGCGCGTGTCTTTCGGCAGACGATGAAGAAGATCACGATTACGCCGACTGCAACGAGGGCTGCCGCGAGAAGGACGGGGACCTGAAGGGACGGCCAATTTGGGGTTGCGCCGGCCGCGGCAACATCCGCGGGGGCGACGGAGGTTGCAGTGGTTATCACTGAAGAACTTGAGATCATTTCGGAGGTGGCCGATGTGGTCGTTATGAAGTCAGCGGCAGTCGAAGGTGGTGTCGAGGATGATGTGATGGATGTCGAAAGGGAAGTTGAAGTTGTGGTCCCGCTTGTGGTGAGGGTCGAGCTCGACGAGGTGGTGCCGGAAGAGGACGACACAGCCGAAGTGATTATGGTCGAACTCTGAGGTGGGTTCGGGGGAGGGACTGGCGACGTCGACGACGCCGCCGTTGAAGTCGCTGACAACGACATGGTGATTCCGCCGTCCGTTGTTGTTAGAAGCTGCCGCCGTCCCCAACGACCGTAATATCCGTCCATGATCGTCATCTCCGCGGCGCACGGTTGAGCGAAGTGGCGTGCACAAGTCCAACCGGGATGTGCTGTTGACAAGTCGCCGCAAATGCTGGTCGCGTTTCCACTATTTGAAACGCTCCCACCCTACTAATCAGTTGTCCTTTAATTCCCACTCAGTCACTACCCTCCATGTTGAAAATTTATCCTCTCCTTTCTGTTTTTTAATTAAATCGATAATTACCGCCGGATAATCTCAACAGAATTAAACAAAAACATTTGCAGGGATTCTACTAAGGATCTGCCGGGCAGCGCCTCGAATAATGGCTACTGAGATGCGGCGGTAAACTAAGGCAGACGAAACGTAAGACGCAAAGCACTCATGGGCAGAGAGGATATTGATAATGCGACTTAAAAAGGAGGAAGCAAGGGGGGCGGCAAAACCAAAGACATCAAAGGCGAGGGGGATAAATCCATGTTCACGTTCTCGGCATATGGTGGCGTATTTTGTGAGCTTACCCCGCTCAGCTTCTAGCGCTGAGGCCCCAATCCGGGGAGACAAACCAAGGGATTGTCGGATGGGGCTCGAGATCCGCTTTTTAGAAGTAAAAGGGCGCGGTGATTGCCATATATAGGAAAAGGGGTTGAATTTGTACAATAGCACACCACGAGCGAGCATTAAGATGGGCTGCAGCCGTTCTTTGCAACGAGCAGAGACTCGCTATGTGTTATTAATATTATATAAATATGCCTGTGATCAGGCCGACGATGTCGTAATCGCTATCAATGATGTGGTGGTGATTGGAACACTCGTGCAAGATGATCTCAAAACTCAGCTTGAAAAAACCGATTCATCAAAAAGGGCGAGCCCACATTCCCCCGCTCCACCACCACCAACACCCGCGACTCGCGCCTACCCGTCGCCTCGTATCGATCTCGACCTCGCAGGTCGACGACCCCAACACCCCAGCTTACTCGGGGACACCGTTCCATGGTTGCTTACACTCACGGCCAAGAGCTCGTTCAACTTGATTACGTCGCTGACCAGGTAGCTTATTTCGCATCTCGCGCTCGTCTGAGTCCTCAACTGACTCCGTTTCCCACAGATCTTCAAGAGCAACGCCTCATCCTTCGCCGTCAACGACATCCTGATTTGAATCTCGCTGGGTCTTTAAACAATGATTGCGTTCCGCCTCCCCACTCGCTTCCTGTCTGCGGCCACGGCGCCGTTCCGCCGCACCTTGGCCTCGGTCGCCAACGACCGCCTCTCGCCATCCCTCCAGAAGTCCACTTATCCCAAAATGCCTCTCACCAAGCCGCTCCCGTCTGAGCAGGAGCCCACCCAGCTCCCGGCCTCTATCCGTCTCAAGTCTGGCGAAAGCTTTGCCGCCACCTCGTTCGGCTCCGACCTCGCCCAGAGGGACGGCAAGTGCTCGGGCGAGGTGGTGTTCACCACCAGCCTCGTCGGATACCCGGAGTCGATGACGGACCCTAGCTACAGGGGTCAGATTTTGGTTTTCACGCAGCCGCTTATCGGCAACTACGGAGTGCCCGCTCCTACATTGGACAAGTTTGGGTTGTTCGAGCATTTTGAGTCGGATCGTATTCAGGTTCGTCTTACCTTCTCGACGCGAAAAAATTGCTATTTTTTTATCTCAGTAATACTGACATCCTTTTTATCTTTTCAGTGTCAAGGTATTGTCGTTAACGACTACGCCGCCAAATATTCCCACTGGACCGCCGTCGAGTCCCTTGGCCGTTGGTGTGCGCGTCAAGGTGTCCCCGCCATCGCGGGCGTCGACACTCGCGCTGTCGTGACGCTCCTCCGATCTCGCGGCTCTACTCTGGGCGAGATCGCCGTCGGGAAGGAGGCCCTCGCTTCGACCCCGACCTTCGAGAACCCGAATGTCCGCAACCTCTGTGCGGAGGTCTCGACCCCGCACGCCCGCGTCGTCAACCCCGATGGCGACGTCCACATTGCGTTGATCGACTGCGGCGTCAAGCAGAACATTATCCGCTGCCTCACGTCCCGGGGCGCTAAGGTCACCGTCCTCCCTTGGGATCACGCCCTTGCGTCAGACATGACGCGATACGACGGCGTCCTCCTCTCCAACGGGCCGGGCGACCCGCTCGCGCTCACGACGACCGTCTCCAACATCCGTGACTTCCTCCAAGTCGACGCCCAGCGCGCCGTCCCGACGCCCATCCTCGGCATCTGCATGGGCAACCTCGTCCTCGGCATGGCGGCCGGCTACACGCGCTCCAAGCTTCCCTACGGCAACCGGGGACACAACCAGCCCTGCCTGGACCTCACTTCGGGCGCCTGCGTGATCACGAGCCAGAACCATGGGTACGCGCTGGACGACGCTAACGTCACCGCCACGCCCGCTGGCTGGTCGACGTACTTCAGAAACGCCAACGATGGGAGCAACGAGGGCATCATGCACGAGAGTCTTCCATACCGGAGCGTGCAGTTCCATCCGGAGGCTATGGGCGGTCCGGAGGACACGGCGTACCTGTTCGAGGGGTTCGTGACGGAGGTGCGGGCGTTGAAGAGGGAGAGGGGGCGGATGAGTGTCCGCGAGGTGAAGGGTAAGGG